GAGATTGAAACTAATTATAATAGGCCAAAAAGAATCATAGGAATATATTTATTTTAACCATCTTGATTGACGTCCACAATGATAAACAATTTGAAACAGTTCTAGAATGAGTTTTCTTATAGTGCCAAGCAGAAACATTATAATATTACTGATACTGGTATAGGCTATGATATTTATTTTACCGGAATTAACTTTAGTAATGGTTAATCAACTCTTTTTCTGTTCAAACATCAAGATATCTGTTTGAATATCAATAGGCCTATAAAATGATTTTTTGATCAAAATCTTGCGGGGTGAGCCCATAAATTTTTTACTTACAGAAATGAAATAAATTTATTCAACACTTGAACATCTGTTTGTGTATGGTTGGACCCGAAAGTTTCAGCATCATGCTAATTGCTAATTTGGGTAAAATTCTTTAGAAAATATTTTCAAATGTAATATAGTACAGGAATGTTCAAAACGAATTGGATGTTTGAATTTGAAATTCATTATACTCGATATAATCAATTTTGGAATTTAGGAATAACTTAGAATACTTATATTTGAAAATTAGGGATTGTAAGCCATCAGACAAGCTGATCGAAACATATGATATCTCAACTGGTAACAAACAACACAGAAATAACAATAACCTTTATATTAATGCCGTCTTAGGTGTTATCAACATGAAGATATAGTGATTTAAGTAATTTTTCACATGAACTTACTCCCAGTTTAAAATGTATTCAATAATCCATATTCGAAAACATTTTCTCAGAGTGTATTTGGAACAGCAAAATATTTGGTTTTGGCCGTTGATGAAAAGCAATATAGTATGCCTCACATATGCATTTTCATTATTTTGATGAAGGATTTCCACCACCCAACATTTGCAATCAATTCAGCAATTTATAATATTGTAATATATTAGATGGTAGCTCACCCATGGGATTAATTACATCCATCATTCTGTTGAAAGTTATAACAGCAAGATGGAAATTAAGTGTGTTGAAATAATTTGCGGTTCAACCACAACCACAAGGGTTATCATGATGCAAATCATCAAGAGAAGGAATTTCAGATCTATATATTTCAGTATCTGCATTGAATGCAAATAAGAATGCAAAACATCTAATACATATTTATTTATGGAAGTAGTGATGATAAACAAGCATTATTACTAGATACAAATCTGCAGTATACAAATGTTCGAAAAAATATTTTCTTTTGAATGGTAAATGTACAAATGAACTGTTATTATTTGGCCAGTGATTTTATAACAATATTTTTTGAGACATTTTCTCTAGGCCTATATAAGATTTCATCCAGATTTTGACATTTTCATAATTATTATGTGTAAAAACTAAACAAATTTTAGATTGATACATTCAAAATTCAGTATAATATTTTAAATTTAATCGTAATCTCAATATTTGTTTTAAAAAAAAATTCGCCAATCTGTCGTTATTTTGCTGATGTATTAAGATAGAGCTATAGGAAGCACTTTCCACTCAATGACCAATTGTAAAGGAAATCGTTGAGGTAAAAAGATGGGCTGAGTTCGTCAAGAGTTGCAAGCGGCTGATACAAAACCTATTTAAAACAATCCATAAAAACTATTAAATTTTGTTCATGTTGCAGCAATGCTAAATATGGGTACTACCCCAATACTAATTTCATGATTTACGGTATGTAAGGTTGCTTTAAAATAAAAGCTGTGTGTTTATGGATAGGTGTTTCAAGAACGAAATCACTTTGAATTTTTTTTGTGAAATTTAATTGCAAATCCAAGTTGCAAATTTTTACCATTAAAAAACATTAATATAAAAATATAATAAAGAAGGCAATATACATTTCAAACTTGACCGAGAAAAACTTCTGATGATTATGACACCAGTTGTTAACAGAATACCAATAGAATAGATAGCCTTTATTGAATACAAGTGTCTTTGAACTTTTAAGAGAAACAAAGGAACATGTACTGTGTTTGTTTACCTTGTTAAAACCAGAAGTGTAAAATTAATGCATTGCAATTTAGGTACAGAAGCGGTAGGTTGTCTATCCTGAGTACAAGAAACTTAAAAAATAGAGAATGAGAACGCATTGTCGATGTATTTGTGAAGAGCATTTACTGCGATCATGTTGAAAAATTAGTGAATCAGGGAAATAACGAATCGTATAGACAAAACTTCCTCAGCTCAATCAATTTCCATAAGAACAGCTTGAACAAAGCTACATTTAAAAAAACGAAACAAGCATCTAGCAATACTTCAAATCCAAATCCATTTCTCATATATACTTGGTAGCAAAAATAATTAAGTATTTTTGCATTCAAAATTTATTTCTTGTCATCATTCTCCTTTTGGCAGAGTGACTGCTGTGAGTTCACTTATGCAACAGTATCTACCAAATAATGAAGATTTATATCTTGATAATAACAGAGTACTAACGATATAAGATAAAACATATTGCAGAATCAAAGATGAAGCATACTCAGATTTAGCAAGAAACAAGTTTGGTTGTGGTTACAAATGAAATTATGTGATTAAGTGTAATCTGTTTATTACCAAAATAAATTATGATTTGTTAATAATAAGTGTCGATCTTGATATTTTTATATTTATATTTGTCAAAAAATTCATAACAAAGGATTTGATGGTGAAGCATCCGCTTGTCAGATTAACAATAAAACATCAACATTCTCAAAATACCACTTCTTATATATATATAACGGATTGAAAGAACATTTTTCTCAATAAATTCCAAAAGTCATCAATCACTAAAACTATAATTTCGTTGTATTCAAATACACAAATTTTCAATTTTGCTACATTGAATTTCACTTATAAGCTATTGTAAGTCAAAATATTGTAAAAATTTTTTTACATGACATATTTAAATGCATTTCACTCTGAACAAGGCTCTGCATAAGCAACCAATGATATATGTAAATATAAGGGTCGGAAATTTCAGGGAAAACACTTTAACTGTTAACCAGGTAACCGCAGCATGACGTTTGACATAAAAATTTATAATTTTAGCTTGTTACGTCACAATGGCTACAAAGCAATTTCAGGTGATCTTATCGCGGTATCGCTCAAAATGATTCACGAATGGAGATAGTTTCATGATCTCTCTGCTGCAAGAGATATGCAGCGTGCTCGGACATATGGAAGTATTTTAGTAAAACCCGAATCCGTTATTAAATGTCATTCATGTGACAAATTTTCAGTGTTCGACGTGCAAATTCTACTCTGAGTTATCATAAAAAAAAACAGCATCAACTTGTTGGGCGCACTTGTTGGATGACATTGATTATACGATTTTGCAATAAAATCGTGAACAATATATTTCGATCGAAAACTGATTCTGAACTTATCATTTTCAAATTTTCATAATCAGCAATCGTACCTTACATCTTACAATCTGGGCCCTTACCAATACAGTTAGTGATATTCTTCTGAATTAAACGCCACAGGAGATAAATTTGCGATGACGTAATCATTTTTGAAGAAATTGTACATTATAAAGATGATTTGTACCTGAGATTTCAGTTAACCGTTAACCATCTAAAATCGGTTTTACCGATTGACCAGTCAACCACTCCCAGCCCTAGTAAATATATATGTCTTGGAATCTTTTCAGTTCCGTATTATCTATACAATGTGAGGTGGTGGGCATGGGCTTTGAATGTGAGATTTTAACCTGCGATGTCACCCTAGTTATGTCTAACACTTTAACTTTAACCACTAGGCCACCCCGCCCCCATTAAAATTTTTGTCAGTTTTGAATCTACTGAAAAAAGTAGAATCTCCCGGAACCCAATAGACACAATTTTTTTTCCTTTTGGTTAATTAATTGCTAACATTATGATAATTTCAATATTGATAATATGAAAACAAAGTATACATACATCACAAAAGAAAGGTGTATATTAGTATGACAGAGCAGGGTTTCTCATAGTGGGACCTTACAGGGCAATGGAGTGGTTCTCTTGGGCCATGAACGAAGAATCCTTTACTTGCTATCATTTACGAAGACAACATTAATTTACAGAAAATCAATCTTGATTTGTTTATTAATTATTTGCGTGCCTTTTTTATCCTTTACTTTCGTTTGTTTGCATTTTTTTATTGAACATAGCAAATAAAGAAACTGTCAGAAACCTGTTAATATAACTAGCTTTAGGTTATTGAAGAACACCGAGGCCATGGATCATGAAAGTTCGGACAACTATTCCAGCGTAATTCTGTACTTTGAAATATTTTTCTTGCACTTGATTTAATAAGGAAATGGTTCTGTTTAAAGTTTAAAAATGTTTAAAATGTAAATTTGATTATGTACTTTACAGCAATTCAATTCAGATTGATTAAAATTCTGGGAATTTGAATTTTTTCGCAATAAATTTGATTCATATGAATCATTTTATATTCTCACAAATCTGTTGTATGAATCATCAGTTCTAACTTTAGTTTAACTATACTGATCTATGTTCCAGATATCGATATCGTAACTATATGGTTGAAAATATAAAACTTTAAAGAGTTTCTCAATAATGACCATAAATTTACTTTTTTTGTTCCTTTGAACTGAAAGATATTTGGTAAAAAAAACTAGTCTTTTGCGAAAACCAAGACTTGGCTTTTAAACACAATTGCAGTAGGCTATTTTGGAAATTTTTGAAAGGGAACACCAAAAAAGGCAATTGACTTTGAAATTACATTTTTTTCCTAATGTGTTTGCCTTGGACAACTTCATGAATTTTAAGTAGAAATTTGACTATATTATTTTCTCGTATCTTTTCTGTATTAACACAAATCATATTCAGTTCACCCCATCTTTTTATTGTTTTTAATTAACTAGAGTGGGATAGGATCAAAGAACAAAGCACATAGTCCCGAAATGGAGCCATGCCTCTTCCAGCTTTTCCATAAAAATACTGAAGCCTCATTTTTTTTCAAATGGGTTGCTCCCTGTATGCATAAGAGTTGAAATTATAAACACTTAGGGTAACTCACCTTTTTCTTCAATTCTTCACATTTGCGATAAATGCAGATCTGTTTTCCCTTTGCTCTATTAACGCAGTTCATACATGTGCCGCAATTGTCTTTTCGTTGGCATGGTCCACACCGACCACATGCTTTTCGTTTCTTTCTCTGAATTTGATTATTTAATTTGGTCAGATGGTGAGCCAAAAATGGGGGCCGTTAGGGCAGTAACATAGAAATTTTATCAATGCCCAACTGAATAAAGTAAGGTTCATAAATGTTGTTGGATGAGATTTACAGGGTAACTATAACATTACAATCAAACACAAACAAAAATCAAAGTGTTAATAAAGTTTCCTCATTTTCGAAGAAGTGAACAAAAATCCATGGATTTTATTTATTATTTTGTCAACCTGATAAAATTAATTTTCTAATAGCAATAGAACAACAAGTCAATTTCAATATTAAGTTTATTAACATCTCATAGAAGTATAGGCTATCCATGATTTCGCATAATCATGCATAGTGATGTCATTGCATTTTAAGATAATATTTAGTTCATGGTATTATGTGTTTATGTCCATATTCCATAGAGTGATATCATAAATAAAATTCTGATACAAAGCATGTTTTTTCCATATTAAGATAAAAGTTTCTTTTTAAAAAGGCAAACTCTTAGTTCTGGACATCCTTATTAATTATAGATAATGATGCGCAGTTGGTGAACTTTACTTAAATATTATAAAATGAATAAAATAATTACATTATGAGATGATGAAGATGTTGAAAATCCACTTGAGGAATCATCATCAATGATTTGTCCAACGGCTGATTGTTTTAAACTTGGGTCTGAAATAAGAAAATTTCATTGTGAAATAAAATTGCATAAAAACCAGCCTGTTTGAAATTAATAATAGATGTCAATTTAATTAAAAAAGCTGAATATCTAATTTGATTTTAATAATAATCTAATAAATTCATGTAACCATGTCAAAATTAATTCATGGATGCCAAATTTGCAAACCAGCAATGGTTAAAACAATACACAATATTCAAAAAATCTTAAAATTATCATTTTCCTCAATACAAACTCAAATTTGAAAATGCAAATACTGGAAGAATAACAGTATAAAATGCCTATAATTTCGAAATATAGCATCACAAGAAAAAAGGTTACAAAAGTATTGTAAGAATCAAACATACATTTCCTCAATGTCTGTGTTTATATTGGCATAGTTAAAATCAATTTATAAATATCAGAGTCATTCTTATGTCAACACTAAAATGATTAGTACAATGGAAACCAGACATTTAGGATATCAATTAAACTAACAAGGCGATGATGACTAATGATAAATTTTCCTTGAAAAACAGCAGTCTCCTGATTGATTCATCCCCTTTGTGTGGTCTAACTAAATTTGAACCATCTCCAATAAAAAGAACAATGGATACTCATTACTCGAATAAGCAACATAATGATTCTTAAGAGGTTTAAAATTAGAGAAGAATTTAGTTTTAATTCATGAAATTCAAAAACGATTTGGTTCAAAATAGTGTAGAATGGGACTTGTTTCTATTCTGTCTTTTAATAATGAAATTATAATTTGTGCCAAATTTTACCCTGCTTTAAAAAAAATTCATTCATATTACATTCAAATAGACATCATGACAAAGAATTGCAGAATACTACATGTTATATAAAATATTATTTATGATTAAAATAAAACACAGTAATGTCAGCACTTACAGCACTCACCACCGTTTCAATTCAAGTTTTCATTACAAAAAAGAATTCCAGAATACCAATTTAATATACCCAGCATGTTGTTATACCCCTGGCCTACTCGGAGTTTGAATGAGACACGGTGGTCTAGGAATATTTATAATGACGCATCAACATGCTGAAGCAAGAAATGATTTCGCCTAAAAAAAAAATGCGGAACCCCTATGGAACCCTATAAACTCATGGAACCCCACTGCGTGTATTCAACCCCTGTTGAAGAACACTGATTTAGATTGAAAATATGAAAGTGATTGATATTTTATTTTGCACATATTTATGAACAAGAAAGACATTACCAAATAAACATTCTCAGCCATCACTGTGACACATTATTCATTGTCAGCAGCCATAAAAGCCAAATTAATCATAATTCACACCCATGTTCAATCTCATTTTATTACTAATGCTTCATGAAGGTGAATCACTTGTCCAGTCATCATCACCAGTCTGATAAAGATTTCATAATAATTGTGTAAACCAAATTGGTCCCATTCATAATAATATATCATGAATTTTTCATGGTTAGAGTCTAATTATAATTTAATTTTGGGTCTAGTTCAAATATAACGGTCATTACAATGAATATCCAAGCCAGTCACAGATATTTAACAATATATGAGGTGATACCTTCATTTTGAAAAAAACAGTACCTTTGCACTGCAGTTGGAGACCTGGGATTTGTATCCAACTATGTAATTTGCATTTCTAAAACAGATGAGTCTAATCTTTTAAACTCTTAATAAGCCGTACCATACTTTTAATTGGAAGGACCAGAAGTACAGAATCTTTCTGGTTCGGCATTGCCTACCCAATTCATTACTCCATGGGGTTAGTCGGGGACTTGGAATATGAACCCAAATATGTAATCGGTGATGCTAAAACAGTTGAGTCTAACATTTACATCGCTAAGCCCGTTAAGTCGTATCATACTTTTATCTGGAAGGACCAGAAGAAGTACAGAATTATTCTGGTTTGGCATTGCCTACCCAATTCATTACTCCATGGGGTGAGTCAGGGACATAGTAGGTGTCATAAGATATTTGAAAATAGAATAATATTATTTATAACATACTGAACATTAATATTTCTAAAAACATGAATCTACAATTTTGTTGTTATACAAGGATATATGAATAATTAATTAGGATAAGATTATATTAATGATAAACATACAATACAAAGTTTATTATGAGGAATTGAAACTTCTATTTTCAAACATCTTAATAAGAAAATTTAAACTCAATAATATGATTTTCCATTAGTATAAAAAAATGAATCTTATGGAAAATTGGGCATCAGAGTGGTATATAAGTCATATACCTATACATACAGAAATACTGTTGATACTCATATCACAGATAAGCATTTTGTATCAGATGAGCAAAGAACTTGTTTCAAGCCAACTATAAATTCAAAAATTTTTATGGGCGTTACTTCCCTATGAACAAGGCCCTGTACAAGCAGCCGTTATTACGATTGAGAAAATTCTTTTCGAGAGTCATTGCCTATCAAATTTATCACCCGATAAGTGCAATGATGGGCAAGAGGTGCAAATCGGGAGATATTTGAACAAAGACGCAAGCATCATTAACAATCGCGCTACCATAAAGAATTTCAGAAAGTAAATAACAGTATAAGCAACAATTAAAATAGTTATTTGTAATATATTCTGAAAACATCATTGGTTGAATATTTTATTAAGTACTTACCAGGAGAATAAGGAAGATTATGAAAAGTATTAAATCGCTGAGGTCTGTCAGGCATTCCATACATATGAAAATTGTTAGCTTGTGGTTGCTGGTTAGATGGGTTAGTTCCACGTAACCTGAAAAATGAATATGAAAGGTTAGTATGTTTAGAAGAGAAGCGAAAAGCAATCTTGTCACAGAAAAAATATTATGGCTGTGTATGTAAAAATGTATTCTTCATCCCAGCGAAGGGGTCATCAAAAAACCTAAGCCAGTGAACACAGACAAAATATTTCAAGTAAATATCTAGAATCACGTCTGATATTAAATTGGTTATGGGCATCAAAGCATGTGACTACAGTAACTACCTACCTTCCTTCAGTTCGAGGTTAGCTCAACAAAATTTGATATCGGAAATGTTCAAAATGAATAAAAAAAATATGAATTGGAATTTAGTTGAAACTGTTATAGCAAGGTCTGAATTTCAGAAATTATTTAAAAAATTTTCATGTTAAATTGTCATTGTGATGTATGATCACCAAACTAGAAACAGGCTTTAATTACCATTTGATGACTGAGTGAGTAATAAATAAATTGGGTAGGTAATGTGGAACTGGAAAGATACCTGTTCTTTTAAACTATATCAGTTCTTTATCTAATGAAACACTAATAAAAACTTACTGCAGTAAATGTGATTGAGGTGATGACAGGAATTGGTCCAATGAATGAGGTGACGTCAGCTGCAGAGTGCCAGCTCTGCTTTGATCCGAACTTGAATACATTTGGTTCGGGTGCTGAGGTGGGTAAGCCGGAGGTGGGGCAGCGGGAATCGATGTTGGATAGTTTGTAAATAACAAAGGATTTGAATTTGATATAGGAAGTTGATTAGGGTGAAGATTTGATGTAGGTTGTGCAACTGATGGAGTTTCAATTGTGCCATATGTCTGTGATACAAAATTATTATCCCCCATATTTTGGGGTTGTGTAGTGGGTCTTTCATACATATTCCCAGATCCGTAAACAGTAGTTGCATTGTTGTATGCAGGTGTATAGTATGATTGCACAGCAGGATCGAATGCCAATGTACTGTTGGCTTCGTTAGTCCCTGTAGGAGTGTTACTTCCTCCGTTTTCCATTTACGTTACTCGTATTATTCCAATTGTTTTATTGTAAGTCATTTCATAAATATGACATAAAAGTATAATGAAGCAATTTGATGTTGTCAGGTGGTAATAATGCTGAGGTAACATGCAAAGCAAAGTGACATTGCTGATCTTTGTTTCTTCTTCACACAAAATTATTTTACAAGTGTATAGAAAAATAAATATGGTGAAAAGCTGGAAAATGAAGAAGAATGTAATCATGGTTGCATAATCAAATCCTTAATTAATCATGACAAAATTATTTGCAATATTGATACATGATGGTAGATAAATATTTACATCCTATATTTGTACTTGTCTTTCAAGCAACGTCATTCCCGAAAAATTAAAGATTCTATCACTCTTAGATAAACTCTTCAATATAACTTAATTTTTCTATTCCAATTTTTTTTAATAATACTAATTTATTTGCTTTCTGCTCTGAACAAGGCTCTCCACAAGCAGCCTCTGATAGGTAAAGAGTTACTATGGTTGGGAATAACGAAATCATTCCGATTGAGAATTGCCTATCCAATTTATTACACTGTTGGTGAAGTGGTGGTAATTTGAAACTGAGATTTAAATTTGGAAAGATCATCATAGTAAAGTCCAATGCTTCATACGCCTCACTCATTCTATTATTCTAAATACCTTTTAAAAAAGTTTATTTGGAGGCTGCCAGCACAGGTACCTACTTGGGAAATTATTAATGAAGAAACAAATTAAATTGAAATATAATATGTAAAAAATAATCTAATTTTACGAAGTAAAACAATATCCATGATAATTATGATCAAACCAAAATGAGAATTTTCAACTGAATCACAGATTGAAAGAAAAAAGAAAAATGGTAATTAGTTTCACTTGATATGAATAATTGAGGATACCAAATGCATTAGACGTACTAACAACGAATACATAATTGTAAACATTGCCCAAATTTCATCCTAATAATTATTGAACAGAAAAAGGGTACGAAAGTATGACATTTTGCAAAGAATTTCCAGTTTTATTAATGCTAAAATGACAAAGCTTGAACAAATCTATTACAATTTAGTATAAATTTGGTTCTAATTTATATATCCGATTTGCAATCCCCTGTTCGAAAATACTGCACTATCGGCTTTAAGAATATGTACCGGTACTCCTGACTATTCCAATCAAATCTTTCTAATAGTAGAAAAACTGAACTGCATCTCCATTAACTTGATTGCTAAGTAGAAGCACAAAAAATCAGTCTAGCACACTATCGATCAATGTCTCTTTGTTGGAAAACAAATTACAATCTCAACACTATTAACCCCCAGAAAAACCTTGTTTATTTATTATCGGATTGGGAGATTGGGAATTCATGAATACTTAGAAGTTAATTCTCAACATCGAGAGATATTTTAGATTGTTCTATTATACTTGAAAGTACAACACAATATTATGTTGAGTATTGCTTTGAAAGTTTCATTTACAGTACAGAAGGCAATTTTAACATAAATATAAAAATTGAACAATTAGGCTTGGGCCTATTGAATACCTCAACCCAAAAAACGCTCCATTTTGCCCCAATTTCAATTGACTTCGAGTGTTTTTTCAATTCAATCAAATTAAATGAAAATATTCTATCTTACTGTGGTTTTAATTTGTGTGATATACAAACCCTTTTTAAATTCAGTACCATAATTTTTTATATAAATGAAAAAATCTAATACAAGAAACGTAGACAAGGAAACGGAAATAGTAATCGGAAATATGATATCATTATTATGTCGGTCATGCTAGTACTAATATAGCGACATGGCTGGATATAAAGGGTGATCGGATAGGGTTAAAAGCAATCATAATAACATAAATATCTATATAATCCAATAAACAATTATCATAGGCCTATCCGGCAATCTAACATTTTACAAAAGTTTTGATATAAATTATCCCTATTCAAAAACATAACCTCAATTATGATGATAGAAATTTCATTTGTTTTTGGAATCAAATAAATAAGAGTAACAAATAAATAAAAGTGGTAAGTTAATAGATACTACGCATATGCTCGGCCCTAAATAATAACTGACTAAGAGATCATTCAAACTTAACTCAAATATCAAAGTCCTCTATACATCAAACAATGGTATGAAGTGGTTGTATTGATATGACCAACTGAAAATATATATATTTTATGTTTATAAATAAACTAATGACAAATGTTTGAATTTAGCAACACACCAATAGAAACTAAAGTAATAAGTATAATATATTGGGGTACATGATTCAGACAGAAGAATTAGAGAATCAAGATGAACATTATTCTATTTACTTCAGCAGTTCTTTTACTATTAAAAGTTGATATAGGTAGGTATTGAACTTTTTAACTCTACCATCAGGAATTAGAAACTCAAAAAGACAATTTTTAAACGTACCGGTAATTACACTATATTTTTTCGAAACAAGAACTCTAGTAAGAGCCTATAATCTAGTTTTGATCACATTAAAATCGTTGATAAATTCTCGGCATCCATGAATACTAGACTCTGTATTATTGAAACTTATTCAGTTCATGTAACCCGTGTTTGCTACTAAAACTAAGTTCGCAGAAGAAAATAGACATGAATAATCTCACACAAACTCAGATTCAGCATTACATGCTATTTTTCGATAAAAGAACTGCATAATTCATAATTTAATTCACAAAAATATCATAGTTCATTACACAACAACAATCCTGCATTACTAGTATTTTCTGAGGGGATAATAGAAGCTAGACTTATTATTAATTCCATATGTCAGGAACTCTAATTTGGAAAATAGGAAAAAAGAAAGGGGAAGAGCATTCATAATTCATAACCTACAACGCAAGCTGTCCTCTCTTGTTCAGCAATTAACAACATTGATTAGCTGTTTCACTAGTACGATGGCCAGTGGGGGATTTACATTTATTAGCTTCAACCCCTTTAATATCTCTCTCTGCATGGTAATATAATCTTTGCAAATATGTGGATATAGTATTATACTATACTTTCTAAAATGTAACAAATATTACTGGTTTACAATAGCAATTCATGTACAGCATGAACTACATATTCCTCATATCCCACTTTATTAACAGTAAAGTAAAGTTTACTTACTGTCACTATATACGGTACTCCACTATTACTTTTAAAAATGTAACAAATACCACTGGTTAACTATAGCAGTTTCTAAACTTATATTTTGTTTATTTTATATTTACGGTACTCTGTGCGGCATAAACTACACATCACCCATATCCTACTCTTACCATAAAGTACTGTATACTTGCAGTCACTAATACTACCAGCTTTGCATCTTTCACATCAAAAAGCCTGTGAGTGCACTCACTCTACACAGCATAGTATATAGCATGGTAACGAGAATGTGATACCTAAGTCATTCATCCAATAAAAGGAAGTGAATAGCGGATATGAGTTATCGTAATACAGGAAATGTTGCAGAGGTTAATATACGAATAATAGACAGACATAAACAAGACATTGTGGATAAAACCTAATTGCTCTAAAGGCACATTCGCTCTATTACACATCTATAAGAACAGTATGAAAAGGGTTCAATGCCTGCAGAGGTAAATAAAAAGAATGAAGGTAAAACTAGAAATTTATAGTACAAATTTTTATTTATTTTTCAATGCCGAGGCAAATGTAAATTTTAGAATGAAAAATTCAATATAAAAATTTTTCAGTCCTTTGTCCAAGTTGTTGATAGAAAATACCTATATTTTGCATTCTATTTTAATAACTTTTTTTTAGCTATTTCGACTATAATATTAATGCAAGGTGAATTTGATTACTATATGGCAGCAAAATATATCTCTACCAGTACTTCGATACCTACGATTAATTGAAATACAACTTTTATAAGGCTATTAGGCCTATCCAGTTAGTAACATAAAACTATCTTTTGATAAAAATAATTTTTAAAACTATTTTAATAAAATACAAATTTAATTTCCTTTTAATAAATATCTCGATCCATATAAGACCAAACCGGTTATAGACTATCACTTACATTCTGGCAATACTTTCAGACGGAAATGGGTCATTTGTGTTGTGATTTATGCTATCTACATCTCAATACTTTTTATCATGCTATAGAAGATATTTTGTTGACTTATGGTGGTTTTATAAGGAACACAATGATTCATCTAGCAAGTTGCGTAATCTTATATAAATCAAGAGGAAAACACTTTCTCAATGTAATGTATGTGCCAAGTGAATAGTGAGTCACAAAAAAAATTTAATTATAGATGTACGGCCCATTTGTGAATGTGCTTTATTAAAAATATCTTTATATTCCCAAGAGAGATAGTGATATAAATATTGAATTTTTTACTCAATGCATCTGTATTATGAAAAGTCAACATATAATATGGAACTGCAGATGCAAAATTTATAATATAATACAATATTACAACACTGGTTGTTAACTATTAAAGCTGTAACACAGGGTGAGGTTAATAACAAAACCCATTTCATTTCGAACATATTCTAAAGAAAACATAACTTTTGTGTAAAGCCAACTAGATCACTGAAACGTTTGGGTACAAATACAATCATACACATCAAAACTTCGAGTGTTGTATAAATTTTCTTCATCTTCATTTTTATAGAAGTACTGTAATAAATATATGGCTTCTTTCTTTATGGTCACCCAGCACATGACACCGGAATATGTAAAAGAAATACTGTTATTTCTACTGTAAATTTTTTTAATGCAGGGCACTGTATCAGGTACAATTTTACAATAAATTAAATTCACTCCAATTATTAGAAATCTAGATTAGCTTAGCCAAATGCTAAAATACAAAACTTATTCGAATTTCAACATATTTAGTTAAATCATCCCTAAACTGTTTACAACATACTCATTTGAATAAACGTTTCTCATCATTATCTCAATATCATTAATCAAGCAATGTTTATTTATACTGCATGAAATATTACAAACAGTACAAATAGGAGACAACTTCAACATAAGACTGTTATCAGATGAGGGATGATATTTTAATATCTTACACAATTTAAAATTCTCCAAATCAAATTTAACACATGAGTAGCCTGAGGGCAAATACTCATGCATTGCAGATTTATAAATGAAAAATTGAAATAAAGGGTTCAAAATTATTTGTAAATATCAAAGCCATTGCAAGGTATAATACAAAGTAAAGATT